TTCTTGTAATTTGTAAGTGATTTATATAAAATAAGCATGGCAGTAATGCGGGGAAAGCAATGATACAGCTGCACTGGACGCATTAACAGTTTTACACTCGAGCAAATATTGCATGAAAACGCATCGGCCACCCATTTCATGGGTGATGGAGAACGTTAATATCGGTACTCGATTAATAGCGTTTAAACATGTGAAGGTGATATCACGCCTTTCCGTTTCGTTCGGTATGCAATTCCCATGAGTGCGTAACGGCAGAGCGAATAAATTCGTTCGAATACTCAATTTCGTTTCATTCTCGGTAACGAATGAGATGGAAACGTGGATTTCACCGACAAAGTATCGCGTCTTTTCATCCATCCTCGTAAAACTCATTAAGATATTAATAATCATAGGGCAAAACACAATCATAACCGCAAAGTCAAGTGATGTAGTTTCTAGCAAAAAGCCGACATCGACGAACCGCCTAACGGACTGCTCATAAATTAAGGAAAAGCAACATTTACCGAGAAGATCGGTGATTATTATCGTGAAATAAGCAGCGGTAAAGTTATAGCAAAACAACGATATGAAAAATTCTTTCCGATCGCTTGCACAGATCGCAAGGATCGGAAAATATGGTTATTGCTTAAAGCGAGATTTCAAGAGAAAGAAAATAATCGCATTTACTTAAGCATTAACTATTAACTTTTCGTAGCCTGGCGACCTCGTTTAGAGTCATACTCTTTAATTTTATGTATTAAATTGCATGCTCGATTTTTGTGAAACTTTTGGTTCATAAATAAATTTTTGGTAATTTGTTATTCGAGATTAATAATATAATATAAAAATATAACATACGAATAATATAAATGGGACAGACAAAGTTTTCAAAAAATAATATAATTATCATACAAAAGTCAGTTTTGAGAAATTTTTTTACGAAGTAAAACATCAAGTACTTAGTTTCGTTTTATTTGAAATTTATCAGTGTTACACAAACAATTAGTAGATACTGGTTTTTAAATTGATTTTCGAATTCTAATCATAAGCCCTATAACACTAAATTCTTTTACGATATACTAACTTCTAAAATCGAGTTTTACAATAATCAGATTGTTTTTTTAATTTAAATTTTAAAATTCTAAAACCAGAAGAGAATTCATCGATCTCTATGAAAATCCTTAGAAAACAAATAATTAATAACTTTTTTATAAAAAATTCCTCATGGCGAAGAAAAACATAATTTTGCATATAATGCGCTTACGTAAGTTCACGATGCTTGTACGAATTCCTAGTTCATGATCGACGTGTCGAAGGCACACCTTAAGATGATCGATTAGACCTATTATAAATTTATCGAGAGCGCTTTATAGCCAGCGCAACGTTATACGAAAGCGTCAGATAACACTCGGTTATCGACCCGCATGATTCACTTTGTTATCGATAATAGTGAAAAAATTGTAGTAATAAAAGAAAAGCACACGGAATTTTTGGCGATAATAAAAATTAATTGCGTTTTATGATCCGTTTAATTAATTCTAATTAAGTTTTCGTTGGTCCAACGTAATCTGTCTGCATGAAAATCATATGATCTCCGAGAAAGAGGTGACGTTGGAAGGAATCGAACGGGCAACTAATTCGAAGAAATAATATAACAATTGAGAAAGGCTGATTTAACGCATCGAAGACGATCATTCGAGACAACGACACGGAAGACGACGACGCGGAGATTCGCGCGGAATGCGTTGACAACGACATACTTGCGACATACTTCTATAATCGATAGACCGTTATATCGGCTTTTCAACGAGTGCGGCTTTTGTATTATATATCGACTCGTCAATTATTAGGATCGTGAGATGGTCGTGACGCATTGCAGATCAAAATAAGACGATGAACGAGCGTATCTAAACAAACCAACGCGTGATCCCAAGAATCAGTAAAATATATAAGAAGTCTAAAAACTAGCGAATCTTCTTGCCATTTTTCATAAGCTTTCTTTGACGTTATAGCTTTGTTAACCTGTCAGTTCCTGTTATTATTCATAGATTCTCAGAATTTGTATTCCAGAATCTAACGCCTGAACTTTAACGTTAATCATGAAATAATTTAGACAACGTGCGTTTCACACGTTCGTGGAAAAACAGTTCAGACACATTGTAGTAAATAAACTCAGATTTAAACGCATTCACTTAAAAAAAAAAGATTAAGTTCTAAAGTATAAATAAAGTATTTATATACAATTATATATACCTGTAAGAGTCAATACTTATACCGTCACTTTTACCAGATATATATTTATATTCATTCGTATGTAAATTTTATTTTATTAACATTGAAAAATAAACGTTCGGAATTATCCTCAGTAATTATACTTATTTACTTATTAAATGTCTACACATATGCGTCTAACTACAATAACATTGGCTCTTATTATATACTTGATCAATTTATAAAGACATTCAATAATTGTACTAATTTATGTTCATTTATACTGATAAATATTATCTTGGATTAATTAGTGATTTTTTTCGCTCAGATCAAAATCCGTTCTTGTTTGTTCGAACGTGCGAGGTGCGCAAAGGCAGCGAGCGTGTTTTGCGTACTAGGTTTATGATTCTGTGCCTAAATTTACGCGCGGCAGCTTTAAAGCGTGTGCACGTAGTCTTACGGGCTACAGATTCTCTGTATGTATATCCGGAGATTCTGAATAAGTGCTGCGCGGTCGCTTACGTAGATTGAACGAGAGCCAGAGAGTTTTCGGTGATTCTCTCAAAAGTACACACGGAGGTGTGAAACTGTCGGATGGTATATTCGCGAAAACGCTCTCCAGAAGTATGACGAGATCAAATTGTGCGTAGAAACTTCTATATACAGGTCAGTGTATCTTTAACCTGCCAAATCCGTTTGGAATATTTCAGTTTGAGAAATCTTTTTCTCCTTCGAGATTATTGCGATCGAAACATAGATATGATATGATATGATATTTCTGCTCTATAAATTACGTTACATTTTAAGTGTATATAATTAATTTTATTACTGAAATATTAAGCTCCGTTCAATCCCGATTTCCTGTATCAATGGCGAAACAGTTTAATGAGTGGCCGCTCATTTATGACTGCGTGTGCTGATTCCACGTTAATTCATTACGTCGCGTCACTGTTGAATGAATCAGGGCAGACGCATCACTGTCTCGCGGTTCTCGATTAGTCAGTGTTACCGGTTTCAAATGTGTCAAGTCCTCAATCGAAAGAACGTGTCCGTCTACAAGGATGCACAAAACAGCGAGAGGATCATAAATCGCTATAAGGCGATTCCAGCAGCAGCTCGAAGAGTGCACGCTTTGAATGAAATATAATTGCAGAGACCAATGAACGCGGATCATCATAAACGTCGCGCGGATTTTCTTCTTTTCATTTTAACATTTGTTGGTGCTTCGATACCTTGCCATCTGGCCATGGCGAGATTCTGCCAAAAACACGACGGTAGTGAGTCACTCCGCGCGGTTAGATTTCTAGTAGTCGGATTTATCCGCGTCTGTATAGGGTATCGTGTGAAGAGTTGCATGTACACTAAGAGTCAAGTTTCTTTAAAAAGGATATATACGTAATATAAAAAATTGTTAAGAGAAAATTAAATTCTAATTGTTCTAGTTTGAAGATTAATCTTCTTAAATTGTTCAGAAGAGTAAAGCTAGAATGATATGTTGTTTTATATTAATTCATTTGGAAGTTATTATTTTGATTATTATAAGCCACTTTTTGTTGAGATACGTTAGAGATACACCCTTTCATCGTTGATTTCGCATCGCACTTGAATTGCAACGAGCGCCAACTCCCGCGAGAACGGCACGTACCAGACATTCGTTTCATCTTTCCTTTTGCCGTTACATAAAATGACATCAGGAAACTCCCCTCTTGCCTTCTATCATGTATTATGCATTGAGAGTCCTTTGCAACTAATAGCTAATCCCGGGCGTACAAGGTGCCTTTCCATTCGAGCGGGCGTCGTGACGAGGAACTGTATCTTCCACGATTTAATCTGGGCGGTGAATCTTTCCGCGCGAACAGTCGCTTTCGATCTACGCGGGCATGCAAAACGGCCGGCTGCTTTTTTTTTTTTTCGCAACACGAGTTCGAATCCGCCGTGCGATCGCTCGCGGCAACAACGTTTAAAATAACTATAAGCTATACGGTTCGAGAAATCATCGCGGCATTTCTTCGACGGCTGTAACGCGACCAAAGCAGCAAGTCCTCCGAGGAAATCCGTCTTTGAGCGCGATCAAATTATCGGTTCTATAGGTTGCAAATAATTGAGAATGAGATAAAATTACTCCATAATCAAATTATACTCGAATTTGCATGATAACTGCGAAAGGAATCTAATTTTAAACCCTTTACACGTTTATATGTTTAGAAAATATTTATAATTACCAGATGGAAATTAAAAATAATCCGACAGTTTCCTCGGTGTGTATCTATTCTGGCTTGTATAACATAAATTTCTTTATCAGTAAATTAATGCGTTTCCAAAACAATCGCTTGTTTAAAAACAAAAAAGGAATATTTCATTTGCGGACACACGCGTGTAATTGTACCCTTTTCATCAAGATTATCATTTTGGATACTTGAAAACGCTATATACGTATGTATATAAATAACACATGACACGTTACATGTGTACAACTTTTTGGTCTACACACGTTGAATTCCGTTACTTTGTACGACACTTGCGTAAAATGGACCAAGAGACAGTTATGTCAAGCCATGACAGAAATTGGACCTGGCCCTGTTTCGGGACGCTCGGTGCCGGAAATAGAACATCTAGTCCCTAGAATTCCGGCTGTTGATTGCCCGAATGGAATTGCAGACAAAACACTTAGGTTTGCACGTATCCGTCGCGATTTTAGTGTAACTTTAAATGTCAAAAGAGTATCGATAATCTTTTTACTTGAAAATATCTGGCAATTTGTTTGTTAAATAAACACCTTTGTCATACAAAAAGAAGGTTGTAATATTTACCACGTGTCACGCCACTCTTCCCGAACATATCCGTAATGCGATTGTTTTTCGTAAGCACCTGTTCCAACAGAATTAAAGCGATACGAGCACGTTAGACCGTCACACTACCATAGCTTCCACGGTTGAGTCAACGCGAAACACTTCCGTTTGACGAGGACCACTCCGTCGCGTCGGCCGAAATGCATGCGTGCTGATTCACCCTGTACGCTCTCCACGTAGATATCCCCTCCTTATGCGTTGCAGCCAACAAAAATATACCGGGTGTTCCCGGAAAATTTCGAATATATCTTTACGTAATCCGAGACCGTAGGAGATAATTTTGTTGTAAGACACGGTCTCGCGTAATGTTCAAGAATGATAGTTTTAGAACAGTTTCATCGAGTACACAATTTCTATTGTAAAAGAATTTCATTGTATTAAAGAATTATAGAATCTTTGCATAAAAAATATATTTTCAAAATGCTTATACTATTAATCGAGAGGACTAAAGGTACGTAAAAAAACTTTTTATAAACAGACTTCAGATATCTTATGTAAAGAAACTTACGCATAAAATTTACAAAAGTAATTTATTAAAAGGTATACATTTTTTTTAAATGATTAAATATTTATAATTGAGTTTAAATATTATAAGAACTGACGCATAAAGCTTTTAATATACCACGCTTGGTAGTAGTGTATGTAATAATATGACGTTGCTCGCGGATAAGATAATTATCGATAAATGATGGTGCACTGCATATGTTTGTCTCTTACCGATATATTGCTTACTTAAGATTACGCTTTTAAGTTCCTCTTCATATGTAATAACTTAAAAAACATTCTCTCTATTATCGTTAAAAAAAAAATTTTTTTTCGGTTGTAATATATTTGTAATATGTTAACTTTTTACGATATGAAATTTAAAATCGTCAATAACTTATAAAACATATATAAATACAAAGGTAATGCTTGTTATATTTAAAAAAAAAAACAACAAATAACGATATTAAAATACAGTATTAAAAACAAGCAACGAAATAAAACTTATAAAATATTAAAATTATGAGATTCTTTATATGCCTTAAAGTTATTTTTAAATAACTTGGATATAAAAATAAAGTAAAATGCTTATAAAAAATTTACTGTAATACATATATTGTATAAAAATAAATGCAAACTAAATTAATTAGATAGTAACAGCAGTGAGGATAATTTCTTTTGTAAATAATCAAATCCTGAAACTGTCTCTCCCGCTATTTTTTGAAACAATAAATAGCGTAAAATTCGATTTATCTCTTTCATTATTCAGATTTACATTGCGAAAGGATACGAATCACGTGGCTGGCTTATGGCGCCAACATGTGCTACGATGGTTTTTATAAAAAGATCACACTGCTTCGCTAGCTCGAGCACGCAGAAATTTCCAGAGGAATTCTGGCGCGTTCTCCGTATTTACCTCATCACTAGCGAATTCTCGCGACGTTGTTAACCCTTGATAAAATCAAACTATCCGTTAATTGATAGGCATGAACGTAAGATAGGCGTAAATTTCTCATTACCACTCTACGCTTGTTACAGTCAACGATCTACGATTTTCTGCGATGTTTAAACGTCATGTAGGACGCGAGTATGATAACCGCCCGTACGTTCTAATAACAACGTAATCGCACGTGTGAGTCACAAAGTCAGATGTAGCGTGCCAGGATGAGAAGCCGTCTAGGAAATCATTCCTGATGACGGATTTCTTCCTGTGTGAACAATCTAACGAATGAAAACTCATTACTGAAACTTTTCCCGTCTATCACTATCTTGAGTTACGTCTTTTCACTTTAATTAGTAAATTAGCTAGCGGTAGTTCGTTATTTATGACAAAACTGTAGATCGAAGAACACGTGTGTTGTTCTTTGTACGTTTGTAAAAATATCAGGAAACAGATTAAAATAAATTAAAGTGATTAAATTAAGAAGGGAAATGAGATTAATTAGTGAGATAAGTTGTTAGAAACAATGGCGAATTTAAATTAACTAAATAGCATACATTCCGAAGAAATTGGTGACACGTACGACGTACATAAGAATTGTTCCACCTCGTAAAGTATTTGCTAATTTTAGCTCTGACCACAACTTACAGAAGACCGTATTTCGTTGATAGCAACGCTCCCGTCAATGATCTATGAAACCACAGTGTAAGTCAGGAAATGCATTAATGCTGAACATAAGATAAGAAAGAATGAAGTTTCTCGGACTCATCAACTATGATATTTAAAGAAATATAGTGCAAATGGAAACGAATAAAGTAAATTTATCGAATTTTTAAGTTAATTTTCAAGTAAACTATCTCTCTAACTTACTGTTCTATGAATATTTATCTATTTAGTCAACATATCTATAAATAAATATCGAAGTTATAATGAAAATCACAGACAAATTTCTAAAATTTCGAAATCTTTATACGAATTTATGTTTGTGATTGTTCCGGAAAAAATGATTTTATCAAAATACTTAAAAATTTAACCAAATAAAAAGATCTGAAAATATTTTAGTTAAAACATCAAAATAATTATCTAGAACGCTTAAACGATGATGATAATACTTCAAAAAGTTTCAACATTGTAACAACCAGTTTAAGCGCCCTACATAATTATTTTGATGGGGTTTAAATAGAATTGTTTTTTTTTTTTTTTTTTTT